ATTTCTTCGCAAAATGAGTGCTATGGGAAGAAAATGAATAAAATTAATTAAGTTGACTATTGTGTATTAGTACTAAACTATAATGAAATAAAAAAGAACATAAAAGTAAAAAAAATAATTTGCTATTAAATATAAATTATATTGTAATCAAAGAACTAAAATATTAATAAAGTTAACTATTATATATTAGTACTAAATTATAATTGAATTAAAAAAAAAGAGATAAAAGTAAAAGATAAAGCAATTTGCTATTAAATATAAATTATATTGTACTCAAAGAATAAAAATAGAAAGGAGGGGAAAAAAAACTAAAGGGCCAAAGGGGGTTTCGAACATACGTCCCCAGCAAAGTTAGGAATTTAAGGCCACAAATCAACCACTTCACCCATCCGCCTCTTTGTTTCTGGGGGCACACTTAAAATATTTAAGGTGTCCCATATATATATATATATATATCGAGACCCCTCACCTCACCACATAGGTCCGCCTCTGCCTAGAATCATAGACCAAAGCTTACATGTTTCTATCCTCTCTTGGATTTCAAACTGATGCAGATCAGAATGCTAAGACCTACAACAAGAAATAGCAACCGTATTTAAGGCAAATATAAAGATCTCGCCTTGAAATCCATCTGATGCCCTTCATTTGTCGCAAGCAACCATCGTGACTTTTCTATCATACTCTTGAAAGTATATTAAACTATGAACTATGCAAATCTAATGTTGAAATATTACATATTGAGAAAATGATTCAACAATATTTCCAAGACTCATGTAGTATATATAAGACATGGTTGTATGTTTTTTGTTTTACCCACTCAACTATAACTCGGCTAAAACTTACACAGCTAAAGAGTTAGAGGCACTAACAATGGACAAATTAAACAGTAATATTAAAATTTATATTTATATATTTAGCACAAGACAATGTCAAGGCAATTAAAGTAGTAATTTTCTTTTGAATTCATTTTAATACTACTGCTAGAAATTGAATGCTATAAGTACGGGGGACTTTTATATCATGAAGTAATAATTGCAATATTTGTAAACATTTCCATCTCATATCTTTTGGCAGCTGATGCCGAAGGGATGCGTCCAATGGCAATTAGATCTGCCTGTTCTTGATTTGACGTTATATTTTTAAAGAGTAGAAAAATTAGTTAATTTAGAAGGGCATTTAAGTAATTTGACTTTTTAGTTATAGGGTTCCCACTTTTATAGTAATGTAGATGTATTCTACCTTTAGTACGTAAAAACTGTATTTGCTTACTACCATGCATATAGTAAATCCTTTTGAGAAGCGGATTGAGAAACCCACTACCCTATATGTGCCTCTGGCATGGGAGGGAGAGAGTGCAGCAATGGTTGCACTTCCAGGATAAACAATAAAGTTAGATACCAGGTCTCTGCCTATGAATTTTAGCATGATAGAATGAATTAAAAGGATATGCCGTAGATGTAATTTTCTTCACTTTATGTCATGATACTAATTGGTTTCTCTCCTATCTTTACACGCAAACCTTTTTCTAATACACCAGCCTTGTGTGTTAACTATCTGACTATGTAGAGCGGATAAATGTGTGCTGGCGTCTTCAGGATTTCAAGCTGACGTGAGAGCTTTGCAAAAGGTTTTGGCAGCTAGGCATCTGGTAAAATACTGAAGTTTTTTGCTAATCCTTTTTTCTTCAGACAGTTAGGTAGGGAGCATGCAAGCTGTCGTCGTATTAACTTTCAGTGCGCTTCACCTGTTTGTGCTATCTGATCTTTTCATGTGGGAGCAGATGGGCTTGTTGAGAACAACAGTACTGATTGTTAGGTTGCATTATGTGCTTGCTTTATTATATGAAAAGAGATCACATTATGTGGTAGAAAGACAGCAATAGAGGCCATAGTCTGATACATTAGATTTAAAATAAATTTAGCGGGAGGAAATGATTGTTTGGCAGGAGGGGGGGGGGGGGTATAAAAATGAATCCATAAATTAAAGCTCTTCGTGTTTAAAGGAAATACAAGATCAGAAAAGATCGAATCTTACAAAAGATGCAAGTTGCACACATAGAGGATAAAATCGTTTGAAATGGTTTTGGTCATGGTTTACATAGATTGGTCCATAGGTGTAAAGATGGAGATAGAAGGTATTAAAAAGGGACGAGATAGACCTATATTAGATTGAAGGAACTTATCTCGAAAGACCTAAAATCCCTCGAAATACATGCAAATTTAGGGGGAAAAAGTAAAATATAATAGAAGCAAAAGGTACATGTTGGCGACACCAGCATTAAGGCTTAGTCATGGTGCCATGCTTTATTCGCCCCAACTTGTTTGAGACTGAGGCATACTTATTGTTGTTGGAATGAAATTGTCCGAATGAAGCGAAATGGAAGGTGAGGATTCATATGCCGCCCCGACTAGTACGGTATTGAGATGTTGTTGTGGGGTCTGGTTTTCCTTCTTTCTTTCTTCTTTTTAAGGGGAAATTTTGGATTGGACTGACGAAGGTATTGAATAGGGTACAAGAAGTTTTGGATTAGACTGAAAATTCATTTGCCCACAAGCATAAACTGTATAATGTTTTTCTTTTTAATATTTCTTTAGTTGTTACTTTTCATTTTTATTTAGTTTTATCACTTTATAACAACTGTAGAAAATACAGAAAATTCAAATATAAAAAACAAAAAGCTCTAGTAAATGTGGAAATTTAGTGTTCCATACTTAAATGTTAATTGTATTATGAAATGGATTGATTATCTTTCCCGAAGAAAAATTGATTTGAGCTGGTTACTTATTATAGCTTATTGATATGTTTAAGCCAATGTTTTTGTCTTTGAAATTTTTTTGTTCCACTTTTGGTTCTGTCCGTATCAAATGCAAGATACAAGCATTACAGTTCCATGGAACTAATAGTTACAGTTCCATGGATAATTACCAAAATATATCTATGGTTTGCAAATTGGAAAAAGGTCGGAAAATTGACTTGCTTGGGATTGTGTCTGGTGTTTGCTTAATGCAGGATGTGGTTCATAGGTAGGTTGTTATGTAATTACATGTGAAGTTTGGCTTACTTTTTAACAAAGAATTAGCCCATAAGTGAGTGAATGAAAAGTTAAATTTGATCTAATTTGTATTGTATTTGAGTTTTCAGGAATCATAAAAAGCGAGTACTTAAGTAAAAGACTACAAAGGAAAATAAAAATTAGTCCAATAACTGTAGAGCAGGCAAGTGCAGCTTAAACTCTAATTAGGATAATAGTTTACTAATGCAATGAAATTCTCATAGCAGGATCCTTGAACACCACTTCCCTTTATATATTTACAGTCTTAGAAAAGCAATTTTATTCACCATGGTAAACCATTTTGCATTGAAGCATGGGAGGAGGGGAGGAGTAATTTCGAAGCTGCTTAATGTTGTTTAATTTTGCAAAGTAAAGGTGCAATCACTTGTAATTTTGCCTCACATTATAATCTGGTTGTATTACAATCCCCTATTAGCATTTACATCCTTAATGAGATATCGGATATGACGTTCTGATGTTTGTTATTTGAAAATAGATCTACCAGCATCAGCACAATAAGCAGATGAGCTGTCCAGCTATGGGCCAGCTGCTTTCAAACACGCTATACTACAAACGTTTCTTCCCCTACTATTCGTTCAATGTTCTAGGTGGCCTTGACAATGAAGGTAATCGGTTATCGGTGGAAATGTTCTCTTCGGGTTATTTATTTGTAGTGTTTGCTGGTAAGCAGCTTATATAATATCATCCATAAATCTTGTAGGAAAGGGATGTGTCTTCACATATGATGCTGTTGGATCATATGAGAGGGTTGGCTACAGCTCTCAAGGTTCTGGTTCAACTCTGATCATGCCTTTCCTGGACAACCAACTGAAGTCTCCCAGCCCTCTCTTGCTGCCTGCCAAGGTTTGGTCCATGCTTTAATGAGAAAATTTCACATAAGAACAACTGGACTCCCTACTTTTCAATTTTATAGCCCATTTTTCAATTTACAACCAACTAACCCAAAAATAATAGGTTAATACTCAATATTCAACTCCAATAGATTCTCGAAATTACTATTTAATTTCTAAAAAAGATTGCTCAAGCTTTTAAAATAATTTTTGAATCAGTAACTGTGACTCAAATATTAGTTCAACAAACCAAATCCATTTGGGTGGTGAAAATTAGATTTTTAACAAGCTTAAATATGTGGGTTTAAATTTTGAATTTGATTTTATAAGAAATTTAGAGTGTGTGTTATTTAGAATTGTTAGAAATAGTATAATGAGGTTGTATATAAAATTTGAAGTCATTTAATGGAGATTTGGACTGGTTTTGAACAAGAATTGTAAGTGAAAATCGTGGAAGAAGTTCGTCTACAGACGCTTGTATAAAGGTGTATAAGATGTGCTTATACACTATTATACAAGATTATACAAAATTATACAAAAAGCTGACTTCGTCTTCTACCTTGCGTCTTTTCTGAAATTTAACTCAAATCTTGTTAAAATCTACTCCAAATCACTTCAAATTTAAATTTTTAACTCCTTTTGATATTTTCAACCAATTAGAACAACACCCAATTCAAATAACTAACAAATTCAGAAAATCCTATTTTCTAAAGCAAAGCTTTGACTGGCCTTCAATGGTAGGCTTCTACTCTTCAATTTTTTGACATTGCAAATAGGGGGGAAAAGCAGAAAATACACGGCCCTTTGAAGCATATGTAGAAGATGTAACAAGAAGAGAGTGAAGGAATGGTTGTGAGATTTAACTCCATAACTTTTAGAAGCAATGGTTGTAAAAACACAGATTTTGAATTTGCTAATGCTTTCAAAATATGTACAATATGGGCTAGGTAAGGTAAAACTTAAAAATATGGGTCATTGTTTTGTTATGGTGTGAAGTCATGTGTATTTTCTTGTAATTCTTTCTACTTTAATCTGTTCAAATTTTCTCTCACATAGATGAAACATTGGATATTCTCCTAAAAAATGAGGAGAAAGATAAAAAGATGCTCTCTTCCTAATGAAGATTCCATGACCTCCACAGGATGCTGTTACTCCACTTTCCGAATCAGAAGCCATTGATTTAGTTAAGACATGTTTCGCTTCAGCAACAGAAAGGGATATATACACTGTAAGTCATTTATATGATGCCTTTTAGGCAATCTGTTGTAGAATTCAAATTCGTTTACTTCTTGGACTTTGGGTTCATTAAGCACGACTAAACATCCAATTGCCTTTCCCTTTTTCTCCCCTCCCCTCCAGCCCCTACTTTGGCTTTGCTTTATATGTTTCACAAATACCTGTTAAGTGGTGAAATATTTAGGTGGTCTTTTCCTATATACTTAGTTGACTGGTGAAACTTTGTTTCACATTATTAGGAAAAAGCTTTTACTATCAGCCTATATTTCTGAATAATTTGCTCCGCTTAATTGCAGGGTGACAGGCTGGAGATAGTCGTATTAAATGCTGATGGCATTCGTAGGGAAGAAATGGATCTGAGGAAAGATTAATTTCTTGTGTCTCGTTCCTGAGTTTCTTGTTTCATTTAGCTTGTAAGGCGAGATTGTGTGTAGACAGTTAACTCCACCAGATATTTCTGTAGATCATTGCCCATCAGTTGTTAATTTTTTATCATTAATGAACTGAATTTCGTATTATAAAATATTTTACTAATTTATTAAAAAGATTGGCAGTTTAAACTAGTAGTAATTTTGTTTGACAAAGGAGGTAAGAGGTTCAGACTTCAGAGGGGTTGGTGGTATTCGTTGTCAGCTTCTCCTGCCAAGTGGTGTCCTTGGGAAACTATCTGTGGGGCTTCTTCCAAAGTGGATTTTAATTATCTGGTAAGCTTTCATAAGAAAGGAAACTTTTTGGCTCAAATTGGTATGTACAGTGGACAAGCTTTGGGATCAGAATGGTGCTTCTGTTTCCTTAAATTATTATGGAAGGCTCAATTCTGTATCTTCTGACATTTGGCTAACGTCTCTTTCGAAATGATGATATATATGCAAGTGTATTGATATTAGTGTCTGGACGCTGATCATACACAGGAAATATCAGGTCATGGTTTAATCATGTTTATATTTTGCTCTTTTTGTTGTTAACTGGTTGCTTGCATGTATGTAGGAGTACTAGTTTTAAGGGATGATTGGTAAGCCCGATCTTTCTTTTCTGTCCCCTAATTTGGCTGGAATAAGCAGTTAATACTCTCTTAAAATTTTTATGACCTTTCTTCAGATTTTAAGTAGAGTCAAGACTCAACTTCAACCAAATATTGTCTGGGTGCGTACTTTTTTGTCCATGAAATGCTATTTTTTCTTTTAAAAATTAACCTTTCTTCTGATGCCTCAGTTTGAGCATATTGCCAGCTGTTTGTGATGTTGAAATAACAATACTAGAAAAGAGAGATGACCTGGAATTAGGTTTGGATTGAGACCGAAAAGGATCTTTCTCCACAAATAGCACTATGTAATCCCACGCCTATCCTAAATTCCTAATCAAAACGGTGGTATTCTACATCTAAAGTGCAACTTTTTACGGAAAAGGTTGGCATGCTAATGCTGTTGTAGTTTGACCTCATCTGGTTCAAACATCTGTTCAATATTTTTATTTGATGAATGGAGACAAAGGGGCATTTTCGAATATACTTCATATTTTTCTCATGGATTTATGTTGTCCCACTAGGTATAATTTATTAAAAGCACGATCATGAATTTCTGCTTGTCACAATTTGGACCACTTTAGGTTCCTTTTATAGAAATTTTAGAGCTCATACAATTGTGTATATGGACAAGTGTCAGCCTCAGACGCTATAAAGTACTTCATTTAATATATCCAACGGTCGTTTTACTTACCAGCACACATATAGCTTCCCCTTCCTCCCCGGCTGAGATCGATTATTATTTACTATAATAAGTTTTTCCTTATTTATGTAAGTTCTGCTGTCCTATCCATGTATACAAGAGTACAAAGCAGCATTATTTAATTCTTTTACCTTGTTTGGATTAATATTCTAATTTATATTGGTTTCAGAAATTGACTAGTTTCAACCCAAACTAACTTGGTTTTGGTTTTTCTTGTTTGAGTCCGGAACCTTTTCGTTGTCTTTTGGGACAAAAGATACACAAATAGGTGTAAAAAAAAGTTACATTTATATATATAACGCTAAATCACACCACGCTATACCTTAACAGTAACTTTTGCCGTTAAGATATAGCGTGGTGTGATTTAGCGTTATATATACTGACATTTACTGACACAGGTATAGCGTGCTGTACTTTCACGCTATATATAGCGTACAAATACAACACGCTATACCCCTAATATGGGCCCACCAATAAGTTAAGTGACCAATAATTGAAATATGTATAGCGTATATTCAAAGAGCACTATACATAAAAAAATTCAACCCCCCCCCCCCCCCC